TATTAGTAGATAAGTAAATGTCAAAATACTCATTTCTGAGAAGTTTTTGATTTTGATAGCAAACCCAGATTTACGGAGGGAGTAAAATAACATCTATTTGATTGGTATCCCATTCTATAACAATACATTATGACAGACACAAATAGGTGTACCATAATACTGGCTGACAGTGGACTGTCCTGTACTCGTTAATAACACTCAATCGTAACAATACACAGAAGAAAATGAGAAAAACACAATAGAAAATAGAAAAAAAAAGGAGTAAATATTTGAGAATTTACATAGTTGAACGTTCATATCAATTGGCCTATCTTATTTTGACCAAGAGATACAGAAGATATCTTTTTCCATGAAGATATAGACATTTTTTCCCCATGAAGACCACTGAAAGTAATTATCCAGGGGCACTAGATGCCGAAGAACTGTATCTCCACAAATAAAAGAGGAAATATTTAGAGCATTTATCCCACAACAGATTTTCCAGTTCAAGTTAGATTTAGTTTTCAATTCTTTAAAAAAATTCATTGGGAATTCATTCAGTACTGAACTTTCAGGGGTAAATGATTAATGTACATGTTGCACATGAATCTGTCGGACAAAGAAATTAAAACATTAATTCAAAATACTCGAACACTTTCAAGGTCACAGCTTCCGAGTCAAATTATATAGGAAATGGACGAGGTACAGAAAAACTAAATATAAAATAGAAAGATTTGCGGTACTGTATTAAGAAGTAGAATCACAAGTGTTAAGGTGTACATTGTATGTAAATATAATATATATATACAACATAGAAATCCTCAGCACACTGTAGATCACTCACATTTTGGTGGGGAATAGTTTTCTTTTAAAATCACAAGAAAGCTTCAAAAGGAAACCAAAATACTTCAATATTATATACAAGATACATCTGAAAGATCAACAAAATCTTGAATTCATACAATCACAAAACAGAACCTAGCTGTCTAATATGGCAAGTTTTTGAAAGTGTTGTTACATAAAATACATGACCTTGTACAGTAAAACTCACTTAAGTCCAACTCTTCACAGGAAAACAAAATGTTTCAGTGATGTGGAAGTTACAAGTACTGTAAGAGACTAACAGGTTAGTCAGGACTGGTTTATCTATTTAGAGTAGGGAGAGATATTTCACATCGGTAATTTTAAGTTATTTAAAACAGAGTGTTTGAGAAACAATTGTATCGCCTTATCCACCTGAAATATACAGCCAGAAGTCAATTTGTTAATCTGTGTTAGTTTCCTTTTCGAAAATTATTTTCCTGTCTTTGGTTTTGAGTCAGAAATTGATCAAATTTGGCAAACAACTAGAGAAATATCCATTAGTAATATTTATATAATTACCTGTTTCATAGGATTCTAACCATGAATTAATTGCCCAAAAATATTTTTACAGCATTTTTTTTTATTGTGTTTATGGGAATGGCGTCAAAGTATCATTTTCATGCTGGGATGAAAAGTGATATCTCAACAAAAGAGGCCTTCTCAGATTAAACTGGATAATTCTCCAACAGGATATCAAGTTATATTAAAAGTGGATATCAAACAAAGTCACAAAATATATTTTCACAAAAAGACCTTGATTTCAATGATTACAAAGCTTTATATCTGTTTTACCTCTGACTTATTTATATCTATCAAATCTATATCTGCTTTATAAGTTTTACACAAAACAACTGAATCCTTGATGAGTTTAAATAAGATAACTGATTACTCTTTAGTTTTAAGTTAAATCTGGTTAGCATATATTTGTATACATCTTGTTTTCACCTCATTGTAAACGGGCTAAAAATCACTTTGCAGTCCCTTCTCACTAAGTCTTTGAATAAAATAAAAATCGTAAAACATACAGCTGACATTTTGATATTACATTACATGTGCATTAGATAAATTGTATTAGTAGCTTGACCATTGTATGGCATTGAATGTGTATTTTCCTATCTGAAAATAAACTTTAAATATAAATATTAAATTGCATGCATATAAAATATACTTCAGATGTTACCACACAAATAGGTTGAACCTATTATAAGTTAAAACTAGGACAGATTAAATATACTTCTACTGGGTACGTGTTCCCTATGTTGTAATTAACTAACAGCATACAATTATTGACAGTTGATGAATGCGAGAATAATATCTATAAACCTAATGAACAATTGACCTCCACAATTTTGTATATGTAATTCACAGGTATAAACGCAGATTGTGAAGTGATTATTTACCTACTTTCAAAAGATACAACATGTTTTTAAAAGAAAATGTATGATTATGTTTTCTAGTATACTTTTATCCTGATGACTGTACACAACTTTGCTTCAGAGATATAATTTTAGACATATGTTTGAATTACATTAGGGAACTGGTTTATTTACAGTTTAAGTTAATATTCCTGTATTTCTTCCATTAAAAATCTTTTTCAACTTTTTATTTTTTTTCAAATTTAGGGGATTGGGGTAGTATTATACACCTTGAGAACACACTTAGTAAGACAAAATGCTTTGAAAATCATGGATTTCGAAACCATTTTTTTTCGTTGATATTCATTCTGACAATGTTGTGAGGATTAGATAACTACCTATATTGATATTTTACTTGGGAGGGGGTGATAATTATGGATACATACATGTATTCCAGTACAGACAAACTTATGGAAAAACCGCTTTACTGAATTAGAGAAAGCCTTTTTACGTAATTTACACTTCCGTCACAATGAATCAAATATTTAATGACAATGAATGTCATTGCAACTCAGAAGCGTTTGATGGCCTGCAGCAAAATCTACTAATGTATATATTCTCTGAAAGTGACCCCAAACAAGCATTACATTATTATTTAAAGACTTAATACATCAAAGTAAAAATACATTTAATATTGTTTTGACATTGTTTGTTTAAAAATTAAAGTGGCACCTGTATTAAATCTTAGGATATGTTTGCAATAAATTATGTACCAAGAAAATATACCTTTAAGGAGACAAGTAATTCTCATTGAAGACGAAAATAATCTGACTTTGAAAAATAATTCTTTTCAAAACGGACAAAAAACTTTTCATGATTCTTTGAAGACCAAACAAAGAATACAAAAAAATCTTATTCTTCAGAGAGCTGGAAAGCCATGATCTTAAGTTGACCTTTATACATCTAAAAGATTTAACAACAAGTAATTAATTTGAAACCCTGTATTTCTGTAACCAATTATCGGATTACTGGCGTTGTAAATAAGACTCTTAATAATATCTTTCAGTGGTTGAAGTCACTAATGACAATTTCATTTGTCTCACATTTACATGTACCTTTTGAGAGTTTGTAGGTTAAGAGATTAACTAAACACAGAGTGTATGAACAGTAAAGGGCGAAATTATCAGCACAAATATTTCCAGAATGCTAACAAAACTACCTGGTACTGACGAATGTATACAACAATGTATCTCGTTTAAGTAAAGCAAAATACGAGTCGGTGGGTTTTCAGAAATTTTACATATGCATAACTTTAATTTTGTTTGGTCACAGACAGGAATGAGGTGTGGACGGAGATTTGTGGCAGGTAGTAAAATCTGATGCCTTCTTATGTCTCAAATCGGTGAGATTGTGATTTTGATTCTGAAATATAATTCACCAAAAAGATTGGAATTTTACAGGTAGATAGCATGAATGCTTCAATATATAGTATCTACCTTAAATCAAAATCAGATAAGAAATCCTTTAAGTGTTACAGCAAGTTTTGATCTTAATTTGTCACAGATGATTGGATTTGAGAACATCTTTATTTGCTGTTTTCAAAAAAAAATGATAGATATTAAAACCGTTTCCCACATCGTAGTGGATAATGGAACACAAGCAAGTTAGTGATTCCTAACCCTATATTCAATGTATCATAACATTCTAATCTCTCACACACACAACAGCAATTGTTAGATAACAGACAGTAACATGTATAAGAGGCTGAACAATGTAATAGAAAAACAAAAAGGCTTTGTTATAAATGCCCCTGGTCCCAGTCACATGAAGCCTGGAGTATGGGTAACAAATGTGAGGTAAGATCTCGAATGTTCCTTCATTTCCAAAATCAAACATTTGTTATACACAGTTGAACATGTCTTAAAAAAACACCTGTATCTTACCTTCCGACTATTTAGTCTGCGTTGGATAAGGCAGACTTGCCTGGATGATACAGGTACATCTGGTCCATAAGACCCATTTTGCTCACCTATTCATTTTTTTTTATTATATGAACCGAACAAGAAATTGAAATGTTTCCATTGTTTTGAGACCATAATTGGTGGCCAATCATAGAACAGGGTGATCAATTTGGATTTTGAATTGTTTTGCCTGTTGGCTACATCCTTCATTTAGGGATGCTTTCATCTGAGTTTTTGTAAGTTTTACCTCCCCCCTCCACATCTGAATTTGTTCATTGGGCCCCATCTTTCTGCTCTCGGGGGGTGGTGTGGGGATACCCTTCAAATACACAAAGTTAAATTAACTTCACCCATGGATGCTTCATGCCAAATTAGGTAGAATCCCCTTCCGGATAATTAAGTAGTAATCTTTTGAAACTGTTACACCTTATTTTCCCTTTTGGGCCCTGTCTCTCTGCCCCAATGGATTTCACAGTAGGCTTTTATTATACAACTCAATTCAATTGAACTGAATTCAAATGACCCAAGGAACCAAGGAAAAATGAACTACCTTATGTATGTCAGAATTCAGTCAACCATTCTGGACTATTAATTCTTTAAAGGTATATTGAACGGATGCTGCGCCATAGCATAAGATCACTTGGCCCTTTGGCCAGGTGAGTAAAAAAGCTGCCAGATTTAAGATTCAACATGATTGATAAATATGTTTCCAGTATTTTTCATTTATAACTTTTAAAGCGAGAAATATCAGAATTGTCACGGTGATAATATTTCTCCATCCTACAAAAGCTTAGTTATACAATATGATTTAGTTCAAAAAGAAGGCATGAAAGTATGCTATGATTTCATAATTAACAATTTTTATTGTACAACTAGGCTTTTAGCCACCGAGACCTGAGTACATCTGTTATGCCTTTTTTCAAACTTCAAAGCGAGAACAGAAGGGAACACTATAAATGTTGAAATTCAAAGCCATTAAAAAAAGGTAAAAATATGAAAATTATATCTCAATAAGTGACGTGTAACTATAATTAACAAAAACTTCAACTTGTCCTTCATGCATTGAATACATAACAAAGTGGCTCATGTACAATCAGTCGCCAACCACTGGGCGAACTAGCCTGCAACAATCCTTCGTCAAAATATTTCATTATCCTACAGCTACTTTTTTTATCTCTTAATGAATCCTGTTGTATTCAGAGCACTTAATGTTGGGACCTAGAAATATATAAGGAATCTATATGATCGTTCATATAAGCTTGTCACAACAATCATGTTCATTGTGCACAAAAATAACTTATTTTTTACATATTTTTTTTATCTAAATACCTTTCATATGTTATATTGAAACCATGGGATATAATTTGTTATCAAATTAGGAAGTACATTTATACACTTAATATTTAATCCGTTACATATAGCCCGAGAAAACACTTTACTGTTTAAAACATAATAGCATGATATAACAACATTCCAACTACAATCACCGATTACTTTCTTCTCCCCATTAACAACGTCAGCTAAAGTCTGTTTCCATCTGCTATTCCAGTCTGCAAACGCCTTCTCTAGCTGGTGCCAATTTCTCACTCTTCAACTTTCCCGACTTCCTCTCTCAAGCCCATGTTGGACAATTTAACACAGACAGATTTCAATAACAATATCTGTTTGAATATAAAAATATTTCTGTGCCATGTAACATCAGTAATTAGACCAGTAGTAACGATATAATAACAGTCCCCCTAGAAAAATTGAAAGCCCTATAGCGACTGGCTGGAAGTACGACCTCCGATTTTTCCACATTTCATTGTCTTTCTGTTTTTGTCGCATCCTGTCCACCTGTTCCCGCGTCTTCTTCGCCCTGTCGTCTCTGTTTCTCCTCCTGATCTCGTAACCGCTGGAAAACACAAAAACAGAAATAAGCATTTCATCTGCGATCTTAGATTAAGTTATGAATCACAGTTAAATCAAAAGTGTTTGACAATATTTTAGAAATTTTCAAGTAAACCATGTATTGCGTTAGTTTTAATTAAATAGTTTATGGATGTAAATTTTAGAATTTTCATATAACTAAACAAGACAATCCGTAAAACTGCTGATGTTCCAAAAATACATTTGACTCAGAAAGTACAAGAAGTACAAGAAAACTTGAAAGAAAATATACTTTTTAACCCTTTCACCACTGTAGACCAAAATGGACTCATCCAGATCAATGCATGGTAGAGTTTACTAAAGTTACATAGGGGTGAAAGGTGTCATGAAGTAAAAGTTGTGCTGTATGTGCACTGCACATTGTCTTGTCTTTACTAAGTGTATCACATTAAAATATTAACAACTTTATAAACAAAGAAGTAGGACTTAAGAAAAGGGTGTAACTTTTTATCTCGAAAAACAGAGCAAGAGTTATATATTTTTATTTTTATTTTTTTAAATTGGCCATAGCTTACAGGCCAGATATTTGTTAGAAGGTCAATTATAAAGGTCAGTAAATGTAAGTTATGAGATATGAGTTAGAGGATCACATTTACAAGGTTAGAAGTCTGAAGATTAAATTCAATATTAGAAGTCGTAAACGAAGTTTAAAAGTCATACATAAGTTTGAAGATTAACCAGTTTAAGTTTGAACCAAGTGTAAGTAATTATGAGGCCAACTGTCCTACCTAGTATTGTTCTGATCCTCGGTGTGGAGGATTTCCTCGTGGGGAGGTTCCGTCCGTATGTCCTCATCAATACCATTCACCCTATCCTCTATTTTATCCTCCTGACTGTTGATCACCTCTGTAATGTCCTCATAATCATCAGCTTCACTCTCGGACAGATCATCATCATCGTCATCATCATCGATGAGCGAGTCAGATTCAGACAATTCAATGTCCGCAGTTTTATCCAGTCCATCATTCATGTCCATTGGAAGCCCTGTACGTGGGGGAAGGGGTGGGGGCAACTCACCGTGGTGCCCGTGAGAGGGGGACAGACTTGTGGTCCTCGTGGGAGGTGGGGGAGGCAGCATATCTTTGCTTGGCTCCTTCCCCAACACAAAACAAAATCATTATACACATACAGAAGCAATTCAATATTGCCTTATTTATCTATGTTATGAAATGTTCAAGGCCAAAGTTTTAATGTTACAGGGTAATTTTGCACCAGGATTCTTTATTCCATTCTAGAGTGGAAACACCATATATATGTTACACTGACCCAAATTAGCATTTTCTGATTCAATTCCCGAGATTAAGGATTTCAGTTTATTCCATTGGGTGGTACATACATGTATACAACATTCTAAATATCTCACCTGCATGTAACCTTCGAGGACAGACAATGTGGAGTCATCGTTGGCAAGGATACGGCGACCGCCCTCAATGATGGCAGCGTATGAGAAGCGAAGTTGGTCTGCAGTCTGGATGAGGCCCATCCTACACCCCCTCATCTTGAGCAATAATGGTCGTAGGTCGACAGAGTTCATATCCTGAGTCTTCTCCACCTAATAAATATGGTTTACCAATTCTTCATCACTGATTTCATATCACACGATAGTGATAACATGTAGCAGTATAGGCAAGCTTTGTTATTCCAGCCATCACTAATCCCAATATTCAACCATCCAGGCAGTGTGCGGGATGTGATAAGGGATCGGAGAAAAAGGAGGAAATCAAAGTCAAAATGGAGGAACATACCTCATCCTCTCAGAAAGTTTGATTATTTAAATGTTTCAAATGAAGAATTTTTTGAAATCACAGGAAAAACAAGAGAGGAAAAAAGAGGAAATCCTTTGAAAAAAGGAAGAACCACATCCCTGCAGTCATGTTTTAGGAGGCAGTTTGGACTATTATGTAATCCAGCCACTTTTGCCACGGATGACATTGGCTGGATAATTGAGTATTCACTGCATATTGATATCCAGTGTTGTTCATCGAATCGAAGTTCTGCCTTGTCTTCAAGATAGCTATAAAACTCACTATTTCACTGACAAAACAAAACTTATCACCAAAACAATCTCACCCAATCAAAAGCCATGATGGCCATCTTGGATTTTGGCATCTTGATAATATAATCTTTAACTATTCATCATGTAGACTATCCACAATGTAGCATATACCGCAAATGAAACAAATGTTAACAAATCAAATCTTAACCAATCAACAGCACCACGCTTTTGGATCAAGGTATTGGAGCGCTGTTAACATACATGTAGAATTTCTATCACAGATCACTTGCAATCAATAGGAACACTTATAGGTCAGAAAGGGCCATACAATGTAGTTTAGACAGTATATCCACCCTGTTCTATCTAAAGTAACAGTGACCTTAACCAGTGGCCATCTTAGATTTCAGTATCCTGGTAATGTAGCACTTTTCTTGTAGGATATCTACCAAATACAACTTACTACAAAACTAATCACTGGTGAGTCATGCATATAGGCCAAAACCATGCATATTTGACAATATATTCCCCCTTACTGTGACCTTGACCTTAGAAAATTAGTTAGACCTCTGTTGCACATTTGCATATCACAGTGTATCACAATGTGATATTTCAGACTGCTTGATTCCAAGATATCTCCGGAAATTAAAATGTGGACAGACAGATGGACAGACTGTACACTGTGCTTTAGTACTATATAGAACACCTACTCCTCAAATCTGGAGCCTTTTTTAGAACCACACAAAAATTAAAAAGTTTTAAAACAGTTTGTTTTTTATGTATATTACTACAGGAAAGATTTCCTTGCAAGCCTTTAAATTTATTTCAGATAGCTGTGTCATTTTTCAGTATACCATTCTGTCAATGTTATACTTTCTAACTCTGAGACCACTTACAATGACTAAGCAGCTGTCGACAAGACAGAAGGTGCCAGACCGGCCGATGCCTGCACTACAGTGAACCACAGGCGGCCCCACAGCAGAGTCGAGAGCTCCAGTCTGTCGCACGACCATAAGGAAGTTGAGGAAGGCATGAGGCGAAGATGGCACGCCAAAGTCTGGCCACGTAATGTAGTTATAATGGAGCACCTCTCTTGTGTCTCCGGACTGAAACAAAACATAAACAATGACCATAACCACTTTCCAGAACACGTTATTTCTCATGATTTGATGTGAAACAATCACAAACTATTATTAACAAATATCTCAAAAATAATTATCATGGTCAAGTTGTACTAAGCCTTGTTGGCTTTAAAAATCATGAACACAAATGTTCAAAACATGATTTAATATTTTATATTTCTTTTCTACTTAATAATAATTCAGTTCCCTGTACATGCAGGTTTAAAATTCTGAATTGCAATATTTCTGACAACATACACTATGAAATATTTTACTTAAGCCAGTGTACATGTTTTAGAAGACAGTTTGGCCCGTTTTTATAATCAAGCCACTTTTGCCAGAATGAGGTGGCTGGATAATGGAGTAATCACTGTATAACTGATATCCAGTGTTGCTCATCAAATTCATGTTATATTATCATCATACTGTTTGGCAAGGAGAGCTTATAATTCCCCTTTTCCACTACTGTATACCAGGAAATATCTGCCATAGTTTCATTTTTGCCTTTTTCTCTCTCTAAAATCAGGTCAAATTCATCAACACAGCGAATATACATATATGTATTAGACCGGCTACCATCCCCTAAGTTTTTATGAAGAGTTTCTCAGGTGCATTTTTTACTACTAGCTTATCTCCCCCTAGTTCATAACTCTAGAATCAGACATCCAAGCGATCAAAAAAATTTGAGTTTAACTTTTTTCTTAATAATTCAATATCCTAGAGACGGTGGCCAGTCTACGAATATATAGGTACATGTAGATAACAAAGTTATTTTATGTAATGGGTGAAATTTACATTGGGTTGAAAATTGAGTTTATAGGAGAGGGGTGAAAGTGTCACTTGATGAAAATTTCCTTGTGTACAGTAATACACCTGTTTTTTCTGCTTTTGAATATGACTGACATAGGAATGTTCCATAAATAATTCAGTCAAAATCCTATCAGCTGTTCAAGACTAACAGTCTTTAATAGAAAGTTTGATAGGCAGGCACAGATAACCTGCTGTGGCCTTTAGCCAGATGCACTGACAATATTGTCCTACAATGTATGCGTAACATTGTAATATTTATTATATCTGACTTGTGTGATGAGTGTTGTATAACGTTAACTGTACCTCCATATCTTCCAGCTCTATCTTCCGTACGACGTAATAGTTGAGATACGACTCATCTAACAGTGTCACCTTGAGACCGACATCTTCATATTCCAACTCCTCATCCAGACCACTTTGGGGAAAGTAAGGGTGACATTTTTTCTAGAAAGAAAAGACACTTGTCTATATAGCGATATGTCTTTAAAAGCAACATAATGTGTGTCCACATAAAAACAATTCTGCCCTGCCATGGATATCCTTGTCTAAACCATGTTATCTTGTGCATAACTTCAGAAGAACAAGAGGCCCAATGGGCCTGCATCGCTCACCTGTTATTAATCTAACACTTGTAATCTTAAGATTTCATAAGAACCTATTAAAAGATTTAAACATATGACGCCTCTGACCTTGATTGTCGAACAAGGACATTAGGTTGAAAGTGGATCAAGGTCATTCATTTGAACTAACATGGTAATCCTTCATCCCAGCATGCTACAGGCCCAATTTCAGTACCCTGGCCCTTTTGCTTATTGAAAAGAAGTCGCTTGAAGATTTTACGACATTTGACCCCTGTGACCTTGAAAGTTGGTCAAGGTCATTCAGTTGAACAAACTTGATAGTCCTTCATCCCAGCATGCTACAGGCCCAATATCAGTACCCTGGGCCTTTTGGTTATTGAGAAGAAGT